TAGCCATGGGTTTGTGGATGGAAATGCTATGTCTAATATTTACGTATGTGAGAGAAAGAGAAAGAAAGGGGGAGGAGGGAGTCTGCAGTGGCAGCTGTGGAGGAGATAATCTCTGGCCTGGACCATAGCCTCTCAAATAGAAACTCCTACAACTATTGTGGCTCAATCAGATTAAAAAGACAAAACAAAAAAAAAAAAAAAAAAACCTCAGAGAGAGTGAGGGAATGCCTGTCATCCACAGAAGTGTGATAGCACAATGCTGGCTCAGCTTGGAACAGAGAGACAGAGCTCAGTCAAACACAATGCTGCAGTTGTCTCCTCTGTATTGTTAAAAAAAAAAAAAAAAAAAAACTGCCAGCCAAGCAAATATTTTATTTCTGCTTTTCCTCATGGGCTGCCATTCTTTCAGTTTTGAGAGCCACCAGAAGCATTTATGGGTCTGTCTTTGAAGGTCTTATCTGAGAAAATGTCTAGTTATAGCTAAAAAGATAATGACTTAAAAAAAAAAATTAAATAAACTCAAAAAATTGGTTACCACAGGTTTCAGTCCTGTTTGAAGACGTGTTTGACATTTTGTGAAATTCACTTATTCACTCATTCGAGTTAGGTGATACGTTCCTGTATGGTAAATATGAAGCTGCAGCTAGCAGCCATTAGCTTAGCTTTGTTCAGATACTGGAAACGTTGAGAAACCGGCTTGCTGGGAACAGTAATTTTTTAGGAGTCTCCTGGTTGCCTGGCAACTCCTTTAGAAACACAGTCTGGCGCATGATCCGCTGTGAAGCAGCAAAGTGTTGTTTTTACACTGGAGTTTTTTTTAGATTCAACCAACGAGGTATAGAGTGTTGATTAGTGAGCTGTAGATGTGCTGATGGGCAGATTCTGATCCAGGCCTGACGACTGTGGCTTTATGTTTAACAGACAGATATTGGAGTGTTATTGATCTTCCCATCTGACTTTGCACCAGAAAGCTAATAAGCATATTCCGCAAAATGTCAAACTGTTTCTTTAAAACCACTACAATACTGTTAATAATGGACACGGTGCTGGAAAAAAAACGTTTAGGTGATTCCACCAGAGTAGTGATTCCTCTTATCTTTCTAATCTTTACACTACATCATTAGACTGGTGGTTGGTTATACTACAGCACTGCACCACAGCTTTTTCTGTGGTTATAGAATTGCCAGCTGTGGTCAGTGGTGCTAGGTGACAGTGGCTAAGAAGCTATTCAGCCCAACCCTGTGCTGACATTTGAAGGAAGTGAGGAAACTTTCTCTGTAACTGCAGCTGTTTGTTTTACCGAATATGACACAGGAGCTCTTCCAGTTATTGGCTATCTCATTGTTCGGTCTAAGGCCTGTTTTTTAGGAAAGTTAAACATGATGATTCCAACTGTTAAAGTTGTGGAAGGCGGGTTGCCCAATTCCATGTGGGTATAAATACAAGGAATTACATTTTCATGTCCATGTTTATTTTTCTGGCTGAAAAAGCCCGGACTTGAAATGTGATGTGAAGCAGGATCTTTTATATACAGTGTGATTCTTGGTCTAGTTATTGACAACTTGACAGTTTGAGTTCTGGTCATAACAGTAGCTACTAAGTTCTGTTTTGTGTAAAAGATGATAAAACAGTTTTTATTGCTTGTAGAGATCTAACAGCATGTATCTTTTTATAAAGCTGTTTCAACAAAACTTCAAATATCTAGATAGACTGATTGTCCTGCTCTACATTTGCCTGAAATGAAGTCTGGAGTTAATGTACCCACAAGTTTATTTTTCTTGGATGGGTTTTACTTGTTTATTTAAGGGAGCCTTAGGAGCCGTGCAACACTTTGCTGTGTTGTCAGTTGAGTCATTGAGACACGCTCATCCCACAGCAACTAAACCGTGTGTATGAACATACTCCACCCAAAGATGTTTTTATTTGGACATCAGCTGTGTTTTACGGTGCATTTTAAATTAAAATGTAATCAGTATTTGGAGATACTAAATAATTTTACTCTGATATCTTCATCAGACACTGACTAATTAGCCCCCCCCCCCCCTGTACAAACAGTGGCTTGTTTTTGAATCTCCTGGAAAATTCACTTAAGCATCTTAGCAATTCAAATAAGCTCAGGCGTACAGTATATTGCAGCACCTGCTGTGCTCTATTATTAACTTTGGTTGTAGACTGGGTATTTATTTAAGGTTACTCAAGTTCATGGGGACCAGTGACACATTATGCTCTCCGCTCTCCTTCTCAATGATACAATGCATTAGAATGAGATGTATGATTGATGAGTGAACTGTGTGTTGTATTAACTATAGGGACATTAATATTACTTTATTGTACTGATCAACACTGCAGGAGCTGCTAGGGTTTGAAGGGCACTTGAGCGGCGTGGATGTTTGCCAACAAGTGGGCTTGAGCCTCGGTCGTGAGGATGAACGACTGTCTCTCTGACTTCTTGGCAACTTCACCACCTACAACACTGTAGACGAGCACATGTTGTACTCCTACAGTATTTCTTTTCTTTTTCTGTTTGTTTTAAATTATCTCACCTACAACTGGTGAAAGTGGCACTGTCTTGTTCGTGTGCATGCGTGAATAAATTTGGTTTCTGCGTTCCCAGTGACTAACTGAACACAGCACCTCTTCCTTCAGATCAGCACTCCTAAAACACCCTGAGGGCAGGCACGCTGTGCTGTGAGCCTGATTCCCTGAATCTGTTTTACTCCAGCATACATAGATCAAGCAAATCAGTCACTCGCACCGTCACATGTTGCTCATGACTATGAGCCCGGGGCGCTGTTTTAGCATCTCAAAATTGGCTTTCCTGTGAGACAGTAGTTAGTGCGGCAGCAACACATGCAAGACTTAATTAAATCAAACACTTGATCTGGTCACAAATGTGTGATATATGGAGAAAGCGAAGGCGGGGTCAGTTGGAGTTCACAGTATCAGTAATCTTAAAGCTCTGACATGCCGCTCCCTCGTTTGGCTGATGGGCGGTCATTTGGTGTCTGCAGCCAACAATCACACACAGTTTTTGCTGTGTTGTTCGGCATGTTGGCACGAGTCTTCCCTTACCAATGGTGGTTTGGCTGATTGAACATGTTGAATCTGTGGAGGCAAGTTGGTAAAAGCAAGATCATTTACTGACACAATTTCCCGTCATCATATCTTCCCCCTCTGCCCCCCCCCCCTTTTCTTTTTGTTTGTTTTTTTTTAAGCCATCATGGCTCTATGGATGGTATTTGCCATGAAATTTGATAGAGACATTTGTGGTTCCCTAAGGATGAATTTTAGTAACTTTGGTCCCCTGACCTTTCATCTAGTGCCATCATCAGATCATGGGCTGATGATGCCCGCGCAACTGTAAGCAGAGACCTGCATGTTGGCAGTCAGCTGGCCACAAGGACTCTCAGTGTTGGATCAGTCTGCCTTTGAAAGCGCTGGTTCTTAAAGGTTGATTTGGTGTGTCAACATACAGCCCAGAGGCTAAGGCCCTTTTGTTTGAGTCTTGGCTCAGACAGCACAGCATTGACTAGCATAAACACACTAACCCTCTCTGGCTCTTCCCGTCTCTCTGTGTATTACAGTTTACCCCAATATCATATCTGTAAGTCCATTGTGCTACACACACATATAGAAACACCCCCCACCCCTATTTAGCTTTTTGGTTCAAGGCCACTCCCTCATCCAGTCATGCTGGTCTTAGCAGCTGGAGAAGGCCAGGGACAGCTGGCATTCTGCAGGCTCCCTGGTGCAAATAGACCCCGGCCACTCACACTACACAGGGGCCAACTGGACAGCTGTCTTGGGCTGGGCTAGGAGAAAATGATCAATTTAAGGGGAGTGGAAGAGGGAGGCAAAGGAAAAGAAAAATAGTGATTTAGAAAATAGAAGGACATGGGAAAAAATGTTTGAGCCTGACATGCATCAAGGATCAAAGATGGTGAATGAATGGCGTTTTACAGACTTGGCTCAATTCTTCTGAGTAAAACTCGAGTCATTCTTCAAATCAGGATTCTGCCTGACTGGTGAGATTAATGCTCGCCCTGCTTTACTTGAAGCTGCTCAAAGAATCAAACAAGTGACAGCTTGGTTGTGTGACGTTATATCACATCCTTTTTTCTGTTGCTTTATACTCTGCTGATCTGTGGTGGCTATAAGTTATCGAATAGGTTTTGACAGCTTTTTGCAAAATTCAGACGGCGGCTGGATGTGACTCAGTGCTGTTGCATAGTTTTCATCTGAAATTCATACGTGTGAAGATGTTGCAGAAATGCAATAAGGATTTCACATTAGGCATAGTGTATTGCAAGGAAGAGTTTTATACAATACTTGTTTCTCTATTATTCTACCTTTTTGTTTTGATTTCAGAAACTCACCCATTAAAAGAATTTGTGGTAGAAATGAATATTCCAGAGCTTTAAATGGTTTCACGTGGCATTTATGCATTTATTTTTTTCTTGAATGGAACAACACTCATTGGCACCTTTTTTTGCATTGGTAAATCAGCTGTTGTAGCGTGAAGGTTAATTTCCTTCAGCGCCACACATCTTTCATCAGCAAACTCACACGCTTACAAAGCGTCGCATAACATATATGGACTTGGACACGGACGGATGATCCACTAGCCCAACACACCTGCACTGTGGCTCTGTCAGACATGAATGCCCTCGCAGCTGTCTCTGTGTCACTGAGGCGTACCGAATCTCTGTAGCTAACGGCGCAGGTTGCATACAAACACATTTGTTCTTTAACCAATCACAATCTTGTCTTTTGAAGTTGTGTTTGTGGCCTATTGTTCTCTTCTGCTATTGGTTTTTAAGTCGCCTAATATTTGCCAACTGGTTTTTCCAGCATACAGGACATGCACCATCTGAAGTCACAGGAAATTAATTCAGTTACCGTAAAGCTAAATTTAGTATGGTGGCTGCCTTCCATTGTTGACACTGGTATGTGGCACTAACCTGAACGACTTCTCTTTCTCTCTTCTTTGTCAACACCAGGTATTAAATGAAGAGTGTGATCAGAACTGGTACAAGGCAGAGCTAAATGGAAAAGACGGTTTCATCCCCAAGAATTACATAGAGATGAAAGCCCATCCGTAAGTATTGCGCACAAAGGTTTCTCTAATGTCACTTTTTTTAATCCGTCTTTATGTATTTGTGAAAGTGTCTTTTATATACATGTCATACACTATATGTTCTGCTACTCACTTCTTTCTGCTCTTTCTCTTTTCTATGGAAAAAAAATAATTTGGTTGCGAACTACCAACCAGCACTGTCCTGTGTGAGTGTTAAAGCACTTTAGACAACGCCTGGCGAAATCCTTAGAGGACATAACCTCTGGACCTGTGCTCAGTGCCAGATTAGCTCTCTCTTTATTAATGTGCTTGAGGCCTCTTACGCTTAATTGAATATTGACCTTATTGCATCACTGCCAGGGAGCTATCACGGCTATCTTTCTTTTTTTTTCCAAGGGGAAAGTTATTGTATTGGGGTTTGTTTGTTTTTTTGTTTTTTTTTGTTCTATTACTGCTGCTGTGTTGTTGTTGTTGTTGTTGTTGTTGTTGTTGTTGTTGTTGTTGTTTCTGTGGCTTTTGTTCCAGTGAAGCAATAATGCTCAAGTTTGTAGTCTTTCTTCGATGTTACAGGGGAATCAATATTCAGCTGGGCCTGATCGTACATCTCTGATAATCATTATAATGAAGCTTCTCAAGGGGTGTTACAGCTTCAGCACGTTCGTACTGAGTGCAGTGTTTCCTATAAATTAACAGAAAGGTTGCGCTTACATTTTATCTGAGTCACCTGTCACCAGTGAGGGATTCGTGCGAGCAGGTATCACCGCCTGTCTCGCGCAAGAGGTAGATTTCACCTCTCAATTTGATCATTTCTTTTATATTGCGTTCTCATCAGTGGTTTAGGAGTCATTTTCCTTCCTCCCACTTATTCCAACCACATCAAAGGGGACAGGAAAGGCTGTGCCATTTAGCAGGCTGTGCATGTGCAGGAGCTGACATTTCTACATGAGAAAACAAGAGAAGATCTGTTAAGGTGCTTTCATGTGACCTGGCACTTAGCTAGCTAGTGCAGAAGGGCATTATGTTACAAGTAGAGTAATTTCAACACAGTTTTTTTGTTTTTTGAAGATATTTAAAATATAACTGCACCCACTACACTTTCATCCAGCACATAATAAGGTCATTGACTCTGTGTGT